GGTATAACGGGAGCGGTGTATAACGGGAGCGGTGTATAACGGGAGCGGTGTATAACGGGAGCGGGGTATAACGGGAGCGGGCAGCGGGGGGGCCGGGAACGGGAGGGAGTGGATCAGGACTGAGGGGACCCGCGGGGAGGAGCCGACCCCGTGCGGGGGGAGCGGTCCGTGTGCCCGGGGTCGCACCCGGGGCGTTCCCGCCTCCCGGATGACCCGGTGCCCGGCCCCCCCGGGCCCTGGCCGTGTCCCCCTGCCCAGGTGGAGGACAGCGTCCTCACGATCGGCAAGTTCCACAACATGGTGAAGCTCGTGGCGTTCTCGCCGTTCCGGTCGGCGCAGAGCGCCCTGGAGAACATGAACGCCGTGTCCGAGGGTGAGTTGGGGTCTGGGGGGCACAGGGACCCTCCCGTGGCCCCCCCTGACCCCCCGATGTCCCGCAGGGGTCCTGCACGAGGACCTGCGGCTGCTGCTGGACACGGCGCTGCCCCCCAAGAGGAAGAAGGTGGTGCTGGGGGTGGGCGACGCCAAGATGGGGGCGGCCGTGCAGGAGGAGCTGGGGGTGCAGTGCCAGACCGGGGGCGTCGTGGCCGAGCTCATGCGGGGTGAGTGGGGACGGGGGACACCCCGGGGGGGCTGGCATGGGGCTGGGGGGGCCATCGGGGGTGTGCTGGGGGCTGTCCTTGGGCCTGGCCCTGAGCCACACACAGTGACACCTCTGTCCCCGTGTGGTGGCACCTCTGTCCCCTCCCTGTCCCCATGTGATGAGCCCTCTGTCCCCCACGTGGTGACACCTGTGACACCCCTCTGCCCTGCGTGGTGTCATCCCTGTTCCCCCGCAGTGACCCCTTTTCCCTGGTGATGTCTGGGTCCTACATGGTGATAGCTCAGATCCCACACTGTGTGGCTCCTGTCCCCCTGCCCCCCTGGTGACCCCTGACCCCTCTGGTGACCCCTGACCCCCCTGGTGACCCCTGTCCCCCCGGTGTCCCGCAGGGATCCGGCTGCACTTCCCGGCGCTGGTGCGGGGCCTCACGGCGCAGTCGGCGGCCAAGGCCCAGCTGGGGCTCGGCCACAGCTACTCCCGGGCCAAGGTGAAGTTCAACGTGCACCGTGTGGACAACATGATCATCCAGTCCATCAGCCTGCTGGACCAGCTGGACAAGGACATCAACACCTTCTCCATGCGCGTCCGGTGAGCGGGGAGGGGTTTGGGGGGTCTGGGGGTCCCGTCTCCCCTCGCTTACCGCAGGCAGCTGCTGCTCCGGCTGCCTGTACAGACCGGGGAGCAACAGCACAGCCCCCGGGGCCACCGACCGGGCCACGGGCCATGGCGGGGACCTGGGGGGACACAGGGACCTGGGTGGACACAGGGCCTTGGGGGGCTGTGGGTCCGGGTGCGAGTGCTGAGCCCGTCCCTGTCCCGCAGGGAGTGGTACGGGTACCACTTCCCCGAGCTGATCAAGATCGTCCCCGACAACTCCATGTACTGCCGGGTGGCCAAATTCGTCGGGAACCGGCGGGAGCTGAGCGAGGAGAGCCTGGAGGGGCTGGAGGAGATCGTCATGGACAGCGCCAAGGCCCAGGCCATCCTGGAGGCCTCGCGCTCCTCCATGGGTGAGGGGGGCTCTGGGGGCACGGGGGGGTCACGGCTGTGGGGTCACGGCTGCAGCTCACCCCGTGCCCCCCCAGGGATGGACATCTCCCCCCTGGACCTCATCAACATCGAGAGCTTCTCGCGCCGCGTGATCTCGCTGTCCGAGTACCGGCGGGGGCTGCAGGAGTACCTGCGCTCCAAGATGAGCCAGGTGGCCCCCAGCCTGTCCGCCCTCATCGGGGAGGTGGTGAGTGTCCCTGGGACCCCCGGGACCCCTCGGCCATGGAGATGATGTCAGAGTGAATCTGTCAATCCACTGAGCAGAGCTGCTGACACCTCACTGCTGATCCCTGGCCGGGGGGGGCTCTGTGTGCCCTGGGGTGGGCTGTGTGACCTGAGGGGACTCTGGGTGCCCTGGGGGGGAGGACGGGGGACTCTGTGTGCTCTGTGGGGAGCTGCATGTGTGCCCTGGGTGGTGTGTGTGTGTGTCCCTGGATTGTCTCTGTGTCCTGTGGTGGTCTCTGAGTGTGCGTGCACCCTGGGTGAGATCTGGGTGTGCCCTGGGTGGGCTGTGGGGCTGTGGCAGCCGTAACCCCCTGTGTTGCCCCCCAGGTGGGTGCCCGGCTCATCTCTCACGCCGGCAGCCTGACGAACCTGGCCAAGTACCCGGCGTCGACGGTGCAGATCCTGGGGGCCGAGAAGGCCCTGTTCAGGTACCGCCGGGTGGTCGCGGTGATGGCGGGGCCGGGGCCGCGGCTGTGACACGCCGGGGCTGGCGGGGGTGAGCAGCCGGGCCCAGTCTGAGCGACCACCGCGGCTGCGGGGCCAGCCCAGGGCTCCCCGAGGTCAGCGGGGCTGGGGGGGGAAAGGGAGGGGAGGGGGCTGTCCCAGGGGCTGTCCCACCCAGGGGGGCTGACAGAAGGGGCTGTCACACCCAGGGGGGCTGACACGGGCACAGCGGGTGCTGCTGGCGGAGGGGGTGAGTGGAGGCTCCGTCTGGGGGTCCCTGACGCCCCCGGCCCCTCGCAGGGCTCTGAAGACACGCGGGAACACCCCCAAGTACGGGCTCATCTTCCACTCCACCTTCATCGGGAGAGCGGCCGCCAAGAACAAGGGGCGCATCTCGCGGTACCTGGCCAACAAGTGCACCATCGCCTCCCGCATCGACTGCTTCTCGGGTGGGTCAGGGGCACGGGGGGCACAGGGGTGGACAGACCTGCCAACAAGGGCACTGTCACCTCCCGCATCGACTGCTTCTCGGGTGGGTCGGGGGCACAGCTGGGATCGGGTTCGGGGCCGCTCTGCCGTGATGGTACCATTTTTCGTCAGCAGCATCTCACCCGTGTGAATGGTGACTCCGTTGGGCTGAGCAGAGCCGGGGGGCGCAGGGGGCCTGCGGGGGTTCAGGGTGCAGGAGGGGGCTGACCCTGTCCCCTCCCCTCCCCTCCCGCAGAGGTCCCCACCAGCGTGTTCGGGGACAAGCTGCGGGAGCAGGTGGAGGAGCGCTTGGCCTTCTACGAGACCGGGGAGCCCCCCCGGAAGAACCTGGAGGTGATGAAGGAGGCCGTGGTGGAGGTGAGCGGGTGCTGGGGGGCCCTGGGGGGGTGGAGGTGCTGGGGATGAAGAAGAGGGGTAGGAATGATGGAGGAGATGGTGGGGGTGAGGTACTGGGGGGAGGAAGAAGGTGGAGGTGAGACTGCAGGGAGGGGGGGGGGGGCTGCAGGGGGGGATGGACAAGGATGTGGAGAGGAAGTGCTGGGGGGATGGAGAGGGAGGTGAACATGCTGGGGGGTGATAGGGGTGAGGTGTGAAGGTGAGGGCCCGTGTCGGAGGTGATGTCACTGTGCCAACCTGACCCGCT